ATCCTTGTGTCCGGTCCCCGCTGTGGGTTTTTGACTCCTTTCTTACCGACCCACGGGCGTCCCCAGACGGAACGATCCTGTCATGAGACGCACAGTCGAACACACTCCCTCTCACATATTTAAAGTGAAAGGAGACGCAGTTCGCTCGCGTCGGATACAGCCGGTACTCCAGGCAGTCCCTCAGAGTTTTCCATCTGTATGACTCGGTGAGCCATGCTTTTGGGGTGTGGCGGAGTATCATCGATCCCAGTGATACGATGTATATACCCCCACCCTTGATCCTAAAGCGACCACCTAAGGTTGCTTCAACGCTTATGGGATCACGGGCGTCGGGATCCAAAGCAACCCCATCCGCATGTCTCTCCCTGTTCGTCTGAGTGCGGAGTGGGGCACAGAGCATGCAAACGGTGTTGATGGGCGGCGTTGGTCAGCCGCGGAGGATGTAATGCTTAAGGCCCCCGGGTGGGGATAACGATTAGGCAACACTTCCCACTGGACCAAACGCTACCCGGTCGGTGTGTTTCGGGATCAGACCCCATAGCGTGGGATGAGACCAAAACGCCCCCCGGATTCCAGGGCTCCTTCCCCAAACCCCGGTATCACGAATTTGGCAAACCGGGCAAAAGGGGATAGCCGCGTTCCATGGGTGTCTTTGTCAATTGAGGACGACCCATCCAGCCCTAAGGGTAGAGTGCCCAGCACTCTGGTGACCTTGGAGGCAGAACGCACCAGCCTCCTAGACCAGGCGACATTTTTACTGGTGGGCCTCCGCACATCTACGTGCAACACCCCCTAGTGTTGCCTGGCTCGCTTGGCCAGGGCCACTACTGTGCTACGAGACGCGGCCTTAGACGCACGTGTTTTCGCCGACAAGCTGAGCCGGGGTACGTCCCCACCTCAGTGACGCAGACTGGACACCCTCCACCCTCTTTGTTCAGGGAATGGTGGGTACAGTCTCGCAGCTTCGGAGTGCAATGTATCAGAGGGTTCAGATCGAATCCGCTAGCCAGTTGGTCCTGCCATGGGCAAGCGGAGGGCACCCCAAGCACAGAAAACACAACGCCCTAGGGCATCGTCCGCTAGCCAGAGTCAGCCAGGAGGCAAGCGCTTATACCCTTTCGTGGGAGGGAAGGGTAGTGGCACGCCCCCAGGGAGGTAAGAGCCAGGTGGTGGCTCCTCACCCTCTCTGGGCGGACGTCTACCCGGCAGCAGGGGAAGCATGCTTGAGCAGGGCCTACATGCAAGTACTGATGCACCTAGCGAGTTGTCATCTCCTTCAAATCGCCCAGCTGGGCCAAGTATTCGAATTTCGGGTGCCCCCCATTCGGGTTAGGCACAGCGCCCTACGTGTTCACCAGAGTGATGAAACAGGTAGTGCTGCTGCTTCACCAGATGTCGGTACACCTCAATCCGTACCCAGACTACTGGTTACCAACAACCCGGGCAAGGGGTAATAGCCAAACGCCAGGCTAACACAGGATTTACTTCACCAGTTGGGCTTGTTAGTAAATCGACAAGTCCCACCTTGACCCAACGCCGCAGTTGGTGTTCCTGGGCATGGAGTTTTGACACAGAGGTAAGCTTGGCTTAGCTATTTCAAGCATATTGCTTAGCGCTAAGCAGCCTAGCCGAATGCAAAGTCAGCGTTCCCTCGGTGTCCCTCCGTGAACTAATGCGGGTCATCGGAATGATGATGTCGGTTCGAAGGGTCGTTCCCCAGGCCGCACTACGCAGCCGCCCGGTATAACGCTTGTTATAACGCTGAGCTCTCCTATGGGAACTAGATAGGCGGGTTTCGATCTTGGACCAAGTGAAGGAAGCCCTGCCCTGGTGGTCGTCACTGGCCAACCTTGGGCAGAGGGGCCTCCTTGGACCCGCTCGCCGCAGGTATGACTCTGGTAATAGATGCCGCTGGGGAGCATTGGACGAACAAGCCCAAGGATATGACTCCCGCATAAGTTTCGGGACCACCATATCAACCGGCTCGAAATGAGAGCAGTGTACCTAGCACTACCACGCTTTCTAACCGTAGTTTGAGACCACAGAGTCCTGCTCCGCACATACAACGCAGCGGTGGTCTCCGTCAAGAAGGAGGGGGGGACGCATTCCCCATCGCTGTCAGTCCTAGCGGAGCAAAATCCTCCTTTGGTGCCTGGAATGCAATGTGGAGCTAACCGCACACCACCTTCCAGGGGTGAGGAACAGTCTGGCGACGCCCTTTCAGGCCGAATCCGTCTCCAGAACACGGAGTGGCTGATACCCCAGTGGGTAGCCTCCAGACTGTTTCAGCTGTGAACGGTCCAAGGTTAGACCGTTTGCCGCACCCCGGAACACCAAGCTTCCGACGTACGTAACACTCCTGCTGACTCCAGGAGCCTGGGCCAGGGTTGCTTTGCTACCCGCGGACCCACTTAGTTGTGTACGCCTTTCCTCCCTTCCCGCTAGTCCACCGGGCACCGGAGAAGACTTTGACAGATGCACACCTGCATATTATAATTGGCTGCACCCAATTGGCCAAGCAGGGCCTAGTTTCCACTTCTGTCATAAACGATAGTCGAAACACCAGCAGTGCTTCTGGACTTAACGAACCTGCCGTCCCAACCAGACGGCGCACTACCACGAGCCCAGCGGGTATCACTTAGATGCATAGAGGCTCTCATTAGACCCGCACATATGAAAGCTTTATCTGAGCAGGCTGCCAACATCCTGGCCAGGGCGAACAGGGATTCTACCAATGCAGCCTACATTTCTAGGCTGCGAGCATACACTGGTTAGTGTAGCGGAAGGGAGATTGATCGATACCATCCCTCTAGGATGGGTCGCAGGCTCCTTCGTCCACGTGTTTGACGGAGTGGGTTTGTCCTACGCAGCGATCGTTGGCTACAGGTCGGCCTTGTCCCCCACCATTCAAACGTACGGGAACAATACTAACCGATTGTCCTATTATTAGAAGACTATTTACTGCTTTCCAGATGCTGAGACCCCCATACATGTACAAGGGAACCGCCCAACTGGGACTTGTCGGCTGTGTTGTCCGCTCTAAGCAGACCGCCCTTTGAGCCTCTCAGATCAAGCACCACTCAAATTTTTGATGTGGAAAATAGTCTTCCTACTGGTCCTCGCCTCAGGTAGGCGTCGACCAGAGCTGGGGGGGGGGGCATTGTCCTTCTTGGATGATGTACCGCCGTTATGGACAATCAAGTTGTGCTAAAGACACGAATCGTGTTTCTCGCCTAGAACCAAATCCCAGGACACGTTCCTCACCCGATCGTCATCCCCCGGCTGTCAAATTTTGTCTGCCCGGAGGGTCATGAGGAATTGCTCCTCTACCAGGTTCGAGCACGGAGTTGCCACCAAACCATACTAGGATTTGGAACGGGGTGCCAGGCACACATCGTTGTGTTATGGCCCAGGCAGGCAGGATAGGCCGGCCTCCCCAACTACCATAACCAGGTGGTTTACTGGGACTGTATTAGAGGTCTAATACTTTATATTCCTCGACACGGAGCTCGCAAAGACACCAAGTACGAGCGCATGAGGTCTGTGCGATGGCTAACTAGCTAGTGCTAGCGTCAGCCCCCCCTCACAAGCACACGTGGAGGGCAGGCTTCTGGAGAACGCAGAACGTCTTTATCAACTACCATCTAGGAGACACCGAATCCATTGATAAGGGTCTCTCTAGGTTGGGTCCTGTCGTAGCGAGTCAGTCTTGGTTTGCTGACCCAGCCCGAACGAACGCTAGGATCCCTGCGCATAGGCAATAAGTCAGTCCGGCATTTTATGCGGACAGATTTCTCTACCATCAGCACTCCCCTGGAAGCTCCCAGGTCCCGCTTTACGGCCTTATGCCCTCATGCAGAACTGTTTCTGTCTTTACTTCGAAAGCTTACTACCCCCCAGAATTTGGTTGGGGGCTAGCTTTCTCGGGCACACCGAACCCTGTCACCGTAGCAGCATTTTGGCTCCTTGCTCCGGGGACAGCACAGTCAAGGTAAGACACCACCCTTTTTTGGGTCTTAACTGGGGTATTGAGTTTGTTTTCATCTCGGACTGGGAAAAGACTTTCATCCTTTTTTTTTCTGTTTGCTCGAAAAAACCCGCCACCTATCGGTGTCTGCCTACAGTTCAAAATAGTCATTTTGACTGACCGGAGTCTATGGTGGGTAATTGAACGTAGTGAATTTAGGCAAGGGTGCTTTGAACCCGCCTATTCACATAGTTCATACCCACCATAGACTCCGGGCCCCCCCCCAACCTC